ACCTTTCTTCTAAACATCCTGCATTTGCTGGAAGGTGATGCAGCATTTCCTTCAGTTGCTTAGCACTTCAGAAAAGGGAAGAAATATCAGAAGGCTATTCTGATGTTTCCAGTCTCATTGAAATATATGTATAAGTGAGAAAAAGCTGCCTCTTGGTGTTAAATATGTCTTTTCTGAGATCCCAGTTCTCAAGTGTGAAACAGGCCTTTCTTCATACACTGGTCCCTGCTCCAAATTTAGCTTCAATTATCACTGGTAAAGTTGATCTACAAAGATTATTTGGCTTTTTTTCCTTTTTTTCTCAGACTATTGAAAGAATTTTCCTGTATTTGTAATGATTAATGCTTGTCACAAAATGTCATAGCTCATACTCTGCCATACCCTTCAATATATTGTCTATTGGAAGTAATTCGATTGATTGCTGTAGAGAGGAGGTCAGGAGTTATTTCATAAGCTAAGCAGGCTCCATTTAGTTCTTCAACTCATCTAGGAGCAGCCATTGCCCTTGGCTGTATCAGGATGCTGTTCCTGCATGGTGCCTCAATTTAGGAAGCTTCTGTAGCTGAGGAATTTTTGGCAGGAGTGCTTCCCCACCATGGTGTTGTGCATGTTTGAATTTGGTGCCTGTATTTGTTCTTTTATACCCTTTCCTTTGGTTTTTTCTCTTGTATTGTGGCTTTTGGGTGAGCCTGCCATCAAGAACTATTTGCTTTAAAAAAAAATTTAAGGAAAACATTTTAGAGACCTTATCAGCTGATGAGCAGGCCAAGAATAAACAAATCAATGCTGGAATGATACCTCCTCCCTTCCCCTATTTTTCATGTCTTCCTGCAAGTGAAAGGGCCTGTAAGAAAGATTATTCCACTTATGATACAGTGTGCAGAAGGGAAGAAAGAGCAGGCCAAGCCACTACTGCTTTTCCTCTCCAAACTGCAGTACTGTGGGAAGCTGTTGGGAATACTGCTTGTTGTGGACTTGAGGTGCCTGTCTTTGGCAGGTGGATCTGTTGATGCCAGGTTTTTTATTTAAAGTGACTTAAAGTAACTCTTTATCCTAGAAAAAAACTCTGAACATAAGAACTGTCGTTTGGATCTGGAATTCTGTCCTTGGAATGCAGTGCTCTTGAGTCTCCTAGCTTCCTCAAAATCACCTGTGTTAATTGTGTGAGAGGTGGCAAGGGTGAGAACTTGCAAGGGAAGAAGCTTCCTACTTGTTGTAAACCGTCTCAAGATGTCTAAGTATGGGATGATATAGAAAAGTTTTAAATAAAATGCTTGTAGAAGCCTTTGCTGCATCCCAGTCCTTTTTGGAAATGGAAGGACTCCTTTGGATTCAACCCAGCACCTTGTTTATAAAAGCCATGTGGCTTTGTATTTTTAAGTGGTAGAATTATGTTTGCATACCACAGCAATTTTTCCTTCAATATGTATTGCTTTGTAATAGTTACACAAGTTCAAAACTGTTGGTGCAAAGGTGTTCAACAGAATGTTTAGATGTTTTCATGTGTTTTAAATGGTGTTTTCAGTGCATAAATATCAGGTGATTATTGCCATATGCTGTGTCCACCCTTTCACTAATGAATTTTCAGTAGCTCAATAGCCCACTATGTTTTTAGTTTATAATTGTATCCTACTTCTACTAGAAGACAACTGAGACCAGTGTTAGGACTGGATGATTGGCATTATTACTCACCATCCTTTAACTTCACTGCCTCTAAATAGCAATGGAGGTTGACTTGTTAAATGCTTCATTAGAATTTAAAATTGCCAGTGTAATTTGCAGAGGTTTTCCAGATGGCAAAAATGGCACATTAGCAACACATTGGTCTTTCGGCTTTGCTTATAAATAGCCTCAAAAAAACTTTACAAGGTATCAGGAATGTAGGTGGTGCTTTTTTTAAAAAAAAGTACTGGTAATAAATGTGGAGGATTTTTTTTAGATATCATGAAAATATGAAGATAGCTTTTTCTAAGATTTCTTGTTGTAGTCCATAAATAGGGACTGCTCATCCTGTTTAATACTGAGTCATTGAATTAATACAGTTTCTATGTTTTGCATTGTTGATGGACTTTAGTTAATGTGCATCTTGTAATATTGCCTGATTGGAATTAGTGATTACAACAAAGCCTCACCATCCAGTATAACTACTTCTAGTGTTTCATTATAAATATTTCTTATCTAGAGATGATTAAAATGATTTTAAAACTCTAGTGTTATGAATGTAATTAAAGCACATAGGTGATAAACATTTAATTTTTAATGCAAAAAACATTTTCCCCCTGTATTAAAATTTCAACCATAAGTTTGCAATTGCCTGTGCTTGCCAAGGAGCTAGATATATGTGTTTACTCAGTGTCACATTTTTATTCAGTGTACAAGGTGTGGTAGGGAGCTGAAATAAGCTTTTAGTATTCTGTTTGCTTTATGTTCAGGTTTCTTAAACTACATGGTCTGTAGGATGGTGAACATTAAGTAGACGCTATTTGAAGCCTCCCTTAGGACTAAAAATTAACTATACATTCTTTTCATTGGGTTTGCAAATAAATTACATTCAAGGAAATGCAGGTCTTATTCAATTAAAATAATGGGATTACTTTTTCACCTATTTTAGAGAGTATTTGTTGTGAGCCGCCCCAAGGCGAAGGGGGCAGCATAGAAGCTTTATAAATAAATAAATAATAAATAACTTGACTTCACAACTGGATAAAACACAACAGTCTTTGGATTTATTCTCTATTCTTTCTGCAACTGGCTTTCTGTTTAAACTCTTAATTTGTATCTTTTAAACATTTTTCTACATGGCTCTTTGTATTCTATATTTAAAACTTTTTAATGTTTTTGTAAATACTATCATTTCTGGAATCCATTTGACAGATTGTAAAAAAATGCTGAAGTAGTGATTAGTTTGTGTCAGGGTGCATAAAAATCAATGATTTTTTCAATCAAGAAATCTGATTTTTTACATTTAAATTGGATTTTTTAAAAAATGCTTTTTGAGGAAGAATCTAAGATACATTGTAGACACAAGGTTATTCATCATGGAATAAGGGTTAGCTTTTAATTATGTAGCATGAGGCTGTATATTCATGCAGTGTTTGCATTTTCTGGTAAGTGAACTCCATTAATCCATTCACAATGTTATGCTCTTCCAGAGGTTTCTGTAAGAGTATCGGACATTTTTTTCTATCTAGAAGATATTATCACAGATGCTTGGTTTTTATAGTTCTCAAAACTTTGGAACTCCCTCCCTAGGGAAATTCATCTGGTGCCATCTTTATTTTCCTTTTGGTGTCAGGCAAACCCATACCTTTTTAGGAATTTTTTTAACACTTAGCTTGAATGCTGTGGACCTTTTTATATTGCTTTTGTAGATGTTTTATTTCACTGTGTTTTAATGTGTTTTACTTTGTTAATATATTTTATGTCTTGTAAGCCACCTAGGAAGGCCTTGGCAGTTATAGGTGACCCATAAATACATGTATAATAAATAAACCTGTGAATGTGCATCTGCAGAAATCACATGCGTCTTTGCCACAAAAATGGTATAAAATAAAGTTGAGAAAAAGCCCTCAATCCTGTTGTGCCTTTGCAAATTTTTGTACACAGGATCAACCACTTACCTCTTAACTGTCAAGTTTCACAAAAATCAGTGAATAGAAGGAGATTGTTGGGAATGGAATAGATCTGCATAAGAAGCCAAGTGTGAGAAGAGGAACAAACAGTAAAAAAAGGAAACTCCTTTGAGCATAGTCTGAGCTTAACCATACTATTCTTTCCCTGGAGGAGAAAACCTATAATAACAGGCCGTAAAAGAGATCCAGTTTTAATGAAGTTCCTCTACCTACTGGTAAGGTAGGCATGAGTGCAAATATGTAGAAAACTCTGATTTAAATCTGGTCTTACTGACTAGTGATTTAAATGGAATTCAGGATATAGGTGCTGTTTCAGGATACAAGACCTAGGCCATTCATGAAGACAATCCATCTGTTTGCAAATTTATGGGGTGGTTGTACAGAAGAGGGAGAGGCTGGGAGCACTACCTTTAACTTGTCTCCCTCTTCTACTTGTACTCAGCAACCCATGGTTGGTTCTTGCCGAATGTGATGTCTCAACCAAGGCCTAGCGGGTTGCTTAGGGCACAATCCTAGGGTCTCCTGATTTTGGAATTATTGGGAAGCCCAACTCCAAGGTCCTGTGACTTCATATCTGGCACTCCAGAGACCAAACCCCCTCTTGCAATAAGTGTAGAAAGAACCTTGCCAGCTACCTTTCAGCAAACACAGATGGTCCTTGCAGAGATGGAAAAGGAGCATGTAGGAGAGGAGCAGGGATTGGATGAGGCAGGAGTCAGTGGTTTGAGGCATTTCCTATTGGTACTCCTTGGGGCTTCATTTAGGTAGCTGAAAATGGCCGTCTAGGTATAATGCACTGTTGCAGAAGAAATTGCTATTAATAATACAGCCATCATGCTTCATGCATTGGATGCTCATAATCCTCCACTTTTGTTGCAGAAGCCATAGAATTGTGTTGTGTGGGGCTAAACAACCAAACGGTTAACCCATGGCTTGTTGAGGGTTTAATTGCTGGGTTGTTGAGCATCTAAAACCCCCAGCAGTCCAGGTTTTGACATCACACTCAGCAATGAATGATAGTAGTTGTTGAGAAAAAGCAAATTAAGTGCTAGTATACTCCTATTTATACACAGACAACCCATTATTTTTAAATAAATAGATGTTTTTGCATACAGCCAGATCCAACATGGCCACTTGTTTGCCACTTTTCCCCTCAATCTTTGTATCTCAGTCTTCAGACAGGTTTTGAAAAAATGATGAAACAAGTTAGATTTCTCATATGTATTGAACATTAGCTGGATAGCCAGTTTAGTTTTCCAAGTTTTGAGGCTGACTATTAATCTGATTAAGATAAACGTGGTTAATGTCCAAAACTTTTTTAGCAGAAATCTTCAGTGTTTGTCTAAAAATAATGCCTTTTTTTTACAGGACTGTGTTATCAAAACAGTAAACATGGTGGATTATTATCAAGTTCTAGGAGTGCCAAGGCTTGCTTCACAAGATGACATTAAAAAAGCGTAAGTACTAATCTTGAAAGCTCTAGGGCAAATTATGCATATTGAGTTTATCCAAATTTACTTCAATATATAAGGCACTTGCATGACCCACTCTGGAGAATATAGCCCTCTTCAACATGCATTTATGTTAATTACATATACTGACAAGAATTGTTTGTTGAATCACTTACTCTCTATTCTGTGCTAATTTGTAATGTGATAGATTGTGGAAATTTTCCTAATATTCCTTAAGGTTACCCATCTTAGATCTATTTGCCTGGTTGTCACATGTACCTATCTCATCAGGTTGGTGAATGCCACTATTTCCTCATCTAGCTCATAGTCCATACATCTATGGTGAAGGTCACATTCGGTATACCTGAGGGGAGAAAGCCCATTCAGTTTTTCTACTAATAGAAGCACTTCCATAAGCAAAATGTAGATGGAGGGGTTATTTTTCAGACACATGAACTAGGTGAAATCTGCTCCAGAGAATTTGGGGCTTCTCCAGAGCAGACATGAAAGGACAGGAGGCCCCTCAGTGTTGCTTTCTACCTAAACTTTAACAGAAATTAACAAACTTGGAGTCATGAGAAGAAATCTTGACTAATCCTAACTGATACTCTTCTTACTTGTACCTGGTAGTCTCCCATACTTCATTATGACTCCCTTAAAACCATTTGTGGCATTCCAGTGCAGCTGTTTAATGCCAGTTATGACACTATTGCATGTGCTTCTTTGCTGATCACCTTTTCAGTGACATGAAGAATATGTAAGCTAAACTTTCATGTCATCCTTCAGGTCCTAAATTATGTCAAAATGGTCCAAAAGTAAAAACTATGGTAATTTTATGTAGATATACTGACTCAGTTCTCAGTGGTTTCCATTGATGTAGATGGGACAAGTCAATGGGATATAGTCTGAGCAGAATGTGACCGATTCCCGGTACTGGTGTACACAAGGAAACATGATCAGGTTTGGTCACCTTCTTACATCACCCCAGTGTTAATATAAAATGCCTGGTTAATAACTTATTTTAAAAAAAGGAATGAAACATCCCTTCAGTGCACAGCAAATAAATAAAATACAAGAATCCAAAACAGATGTTACATAATTAATACAGAATAATAGGTTGAATTGACTTGTGTCCATCAATTCACAGAAGGCCTTTGGAACCATTATATGCCTATGCTATAGAAGAGGAAGAGTTATTAGTAATTCACCCTTTCCTCTGTAACATCGACTCTGTATCCCACGCTGTTCTGTAGGATATTTCAGCATGGGGGCTGCTGAAAGGAAAATCTGCAAAAATAGTCTCCCTTCATCTTCTGCTGGCAGAGGCGTTCCCTGCATAAAAACATTCTGCAAATGGAATGGCACAATGGAATCAACTCTCTGTAATGAAACAATGTAGTTTCTTTTCAGCAGTACAGACTGTATTGGAAGGAAAAATCTTAAATTCTCCTCTAAATTATGAATCATGTATAATTAATAACAAATAATTCTGTGTTCCTTTTTTCTGTTCCTTAACTAGATAGTGTAAAAATTTCTTCATTGCAGCTGTTTTTCATAACTAGCCATCACTGATAGGAATTGCTTCAGTACATCATTTAATCTTGTTACCATGGTTAATATATTTTTAAATAGAGGTGTTGGAGTGACCCAACAATGAAAATAAAAGACATACTAGCTGGAACTAATCATTCAGTTACTTACAACAAATCTTAGGTCAAGCAGAGTACTACTTTGTGACCAGCAATTGCAATGGGAGCAAAACCCACTCATTTCTTACAGTTTACTGGTTCAGATTTTTTGTCATCCATGCTACCTGAGCTTGTTTTTAAAAAGTTGGTATGGGGTTAAATTTCCACTTTTCTGTACTGATTTGCTTGCAACTGTATATACATTTTCTAAGGGAAAAAGTTAAGTAACTTTCCCTTTTTATTTTAGGTACCGTAAACTAGCATTAAAGTGGCACCCTGACAAAAATCCAGATAACAAAGAAGAAGCTGAGAGGCAATTTAAGCAACTAGCTGAGGCTTATGAGGTTTTGTCAGATGGTAAGTAGTGGGGTGGAAGACCATCAGTCACTCTTAAGAGAAACCCTTCTGCAGGAACGAGTGCTTTCTATGGCTTTGAAAATTGCCATTTGGGTGAATCATTCTTTTGGCTTCACCATGTCAAGCATTGGGATCTACAGCAGCTGACTGATAAAAGTATAGGAGGTTAGGACAAGTAGCCACCACCACCCTGGTCTTCAACTCTGGGATTATATGTTTAAGAGCAGTAACTATTTTGAATTCTCCTCATTGATCCCACTTCAAATCTAGCAGTCAAATTTCTACAACCAGAAAATAAATGATTATTCAAGTCCTGTTACTAGTTGCTGAACTAGTACAGAAATCATGCATTTAAGCCCCAAAGAGACAAATGACCTAGATAGATATAAACAGGAATCTCTTAAAATCGCTTTCCATGGAAGAGCTTTTTTGTGTATTTTTAATAACACTATTCATATGCCTGGAATGTTACTGACAAGACATCTAAGGAGAATTATTGCAAGTAAATTGTCCAGAATCCAAAGAACACAACTGGTTAAGATCACAGAATACTATTTATTAAATACTGCTCAAGAGACAGGCAAGTGCTTCATTTGGTGTGATGGCCTAGTGGCTGTGGTAGTTCCACTCAGTTTCAGATTATGTGTGCATCTCATTCAGACTTCATGTGAATGTGGGCATGAAACCAATTTCTTTGAAAGCATTAGTATATTGCTTCTGGTTTAATTTCATTATGTTGCTGTTCCAGGGTTTTAACATCTGGACAGATCTTCAGTCACTTTCTAAAAAGTCCTGCTGCAGAGTTGCAACCCTCAAGGGTGCATTGTAGATTTGAGTAGATGGCAGCTATGGCTTCAGTGTTGGTGCCCTTGCTTGATTCTTAAAGTTGAGTTGTGAGTTAATCAGTGGCAGGGTAGGTGCTCTTACCGCTTTCAGTGGTGGAAGAGCAAGCAAATGCAAACAGGTTGTGTGCAAGGAAAGATGGCTAGGGACAGAGAAGTGGGAAAGGATTATAAAGAAATAAGGCAAGGCTAGATACAGAACAGATGACTTTGTATTTTATTGAATCATAGAATAGTAGAGTTGGAAGGGGCCAACCGACTCCAGCTCCTTGCTCAATGCAAAACTCCAAGGCAAGGTATCCTTGACAGGTTGCTGTCCAGCTGCCTCTTGAATGCCTTCAGTGTGAAGAAGCCCTTAACCTCCCTAGGTAATTGGTTCCATTGCTGTATTACTCTTAACAGTCCAGAAATTTTTCCTGATGTCCAGGCAGAATCATGTTCATGTTTCCTCTAACTTGAGCTCATTATTCTATGTCCTGGACTTTGAGGTGATTGAGAAGGGATCCGGGCCTTCCTCTGTGTGACAGCCTTTCAAATATTTGAAAAGTACTATCATATCTCTGCTCAGTCTTCTCTAGTCAAAATGTGCTTAGTTCTTTCAGTCTCTTCTAATTCTGGAGTTGCTGCATGCTCTGCAGTGCCACCCACTAACAGGGTGGCTGGATAGTTAAGTAAAGCTCTTGAGTCTTCCTCATGCCCATGCCAAGTCAGTTTGGCTCATGAATAGTAAGTACTCTGTACACTACCTTGGTGCATCCTACAGCTCTGCATTCATTTTGTTATAGGTCTCTACAAAATAGTATGTACTGTCTCTGCATGCTAAAGAAAGTGGATAACAAAGGATGGGGAGTAGGGCAAAACATAAGGGAACTCAACAGAAAATGTATATCATTTTATATATTTTCTACCATGCCTTCTATATAGTGTAATTTGTTAGGCCACCTGAAGGATCACAAAAATGTGCTGCTTCTGGGGATCTCAAATCTTGTGATTTTTCAGTTGGCCTGAATAAAGATATTATACTACATGGATTTTATAATTCTTAGAAGTGAGTTTGAATTTTCAAACTGCTGATTTATGAAGAGGTCATGCCCTTTAAAATAGAAGAGAGAACTTAAGTATTGACATAACTGAGTTTTGGATGAGGTTTTGTAGCAAAATAGTTTTGAAAAATCAAGTTATCCTCCTTTCTGAGTTATGCAGACACTTTTGTACACATAGCTTACATCTTGGAGAAATAATTCCATATAAATTTGCAAAATGTCAAGATAGTTTCCATGTCAGAGTATTTTTTGTTTTAACTATTCTCTGTTCTTTGTAGCTAAAAAACGTGACATCTATGACAAATATGGAAAAGAAGGCCTAAGTGGAGGAGGTATGTGGGAGTTCCTATTTTTGTAATGCTGTGAATGACTTCCAACTGCTATAGACATTGCTGTAGTGTAGCTGCAAACAAAAGTTTGACATCACATTATATAGTTGTTTGTGTAGCACACTGAGCGTATGGGGCTGGAACAGCATCTAGACATATTTGAGTTGGACTTGGCTGAAGTCTTCTTTACTTCAGTAAGCTTATTCTAAGTCTAGATTCAACCCATAGGTTCAAATGCCCTTTTATAATGCCCTTGAGAGCATCATCTGAGGTTCTTCTCAGAAAGCCCCCTCTAAAGGAAGTAAGAGAGTGGCTACTAGGGTAAGGACCTTCTCAGGTGTGGTACCCCGGTCATGGAATCTGGTCCCCAAAGAGGTGTTCCTGGTGCCTATTCATTATTCTTTTTGGTGCCAGGTAAAAAATCTTTACCCAGTATTTTAACAGCTACATTTTTGTTATCTTTTATATAGTGTTTTAGCTTGTACATCTGTTAATACCTCTGGACTGATCTGACTGCAGTTGCTATGGACTTTGTTGCTCTTTTTATTACTGTATTATTTTTGTTTGATTTTATATCTTATTGATTCCTGTATGTTGTTTAACTTTTAATTTGTTGTATATTTTATTGTTGTGAACCATGCAACCTTTCTGGTTGATGGATGGTATATAAATTCAATAAATTAATAACTAAAATTATTAGAATATTCTGGTTCACAGTTAATTTAGGTTTGTGGGGAATGAATATTTGAAAGAATGAAAACCAGAAAAATAAGTTTGTCTTGTTTGTTGTGAACAATGGAGTCTTAGTAAGACAACGATTTTAAATAGCTCAAAATGTGAATTTATTTGGAGTGTTTTGGGGCTTTGTGAAGAGCATTCTAGAGAAGTCACATTGGTTCAGATATCCAATCAAGTTCTGGTAGAGCTGCTTTTATTAACAGAATGAAGAAGGTAGTGATTCTGTCGCCCTGCCGTACATCATGCTGCAGGGGATGGTGAACCATCCAAACCAGAATACTTGAAGTGGAAAAGTGACTGCATAGGAAAAAGCAGACCAAGTTCCATTTTGTGAGCAGAGTTATGCAAAGTAGGACTTGCTCAGATCCATTCTGATATGGATCTCTTCTGTTGCAGCTCTTAAGATTTTAATAAAAATAGTAAAGAAACCCAACAATTATTAACTGTAAGAATTCAACATGAAAAAGTTTTTAATGATAGCATTATAAGTGAAAATAAATTGCAGATGTTGTACAAGCTATATTGGTGTCCCAAAGAACTGCATTGTGATACTACTTGTTCTTTTTTTCAGGTGGAATTAATTTTGACAGTCCATTTGAATATGGTTTTACATTCCGGAACCCAGAGGATGTCTTCAGAGAGTTCTTTGGTGGAAGAGACCCATTTTCATTTGATTTCTTTGGTACGTATTCAGCTTTGAGATTTGGTGCAATATGGCAGTGTAAATTACTACAATTTATGTTAGTAATAAAAATATGCAGCATGCTTCCTTTTTTCTCATAAGGGAAGATGTATGGTGATAAACCTTGTCATGTATTATACTCTGTTCTTTTAATATACATTTACAATTGATGTTGCCACTAGACTAAAATCATTTCCCCCATAATCGTATATCCCTGGGCTGCTGTGGATTTGTTAAGTAGGATACAAGAACTTCAAAATGTCAAGCTTGTCTTTACAAAATCTGAAAAATGGTTTGCCTTTGATCTTTCCTCTTGAAATTGATGGTTCATACACTGAGAATTTATGAAGACAGTTCTTGATCTAATCCCTCCTTCTACAAACTAGTTTGGCATGAGCTTGGCCTTTTTGACTTGATGTGAAATGGTGTCAAATAGCTAAGCATGTATGTATGGCTAAACATATATATTGCTTCCTGAATATTATAACTTTTTGCAGACTTTGAAAAATACAGTCTCAGTAAGTGTAACCTAATAGGAATATGCTTTGAAATTTCAGTGAAAACCTGGGCATCAAGATGTTTCTGAGATAGTGGATCACTTTTTTTTCCTGACATTCCACCATTGTGAGCAGCCAAATCAGAAGTGCCTCAATTTTGCTATTGGTGCAGGTTTTTAAATCTTTCTTTGGACATAATAGGATCTAGATGTAACCTCACCTGCTGTAATTAGTTGGGTTTGGACTAGTTGTGACTAAGTACCATGGATTTCATTGAGCCTGTTCTAAGTATGATTATGCCTGAATCCAGCTGGTTCAAAGGGGGCTTATCCTGATGACTTCAGTGCTTCAATATTTTAATCAACAGTGGAGATATATCTATGGTCAAGTGAAAGATCCTTCTTCCCAAACACCTCTTAAGACAGAGCACTTTATCAAGTCCTGTTTTGTAGTTGTAGTTAGAGTAAAAGCTTTACAAGATGATACATATTTATGTAGGAGTTCTGGTTTCTGTTTTAAATTCCCAATTGATTAGCATCACAGTGGCATGAAAAGGTTGATTTATGCACCAAGTCATGAGTTTAATGCTCTGATCCATTTGACTTTTTACTATATTTCATTCAGCTGCATTGCCCAAAATTTCAGCTTATCGCCATACTGTAATTTTTGGACTAAAGCATCTAAAGGTTTGGGATAAGTGTTTGGCCTGATATCAGTTCAAAGGATAAAGAATAAATTTATGCTATCTAGGAACTGGTGCCAGCTGTCTTGTATGCCATGCTTGGTTTTAGAGTGAATACTAACGTGTATCAAGTAATAGATAATAATACATTTAGATAAATGGAATGCATGAATCCAAGTTGCAGGAGTTTTGGGATGAATGAGGATGAAGAAACTGAAACTTAATCTCAGCAAAATTATGGGTGTGAAAGCTGGCAGGTATAGAGGTGTTCAGCTGTCTGAACATAGTCACACCTCCTCTGAGGAACCAACTTTGCAGTTTTGATGTCTTCCTAGATTCACAGTTGTCTGGAAGAGCAGTTCCTGTCTGGATGCAGTAGAGCTTGTCTCAGCTACTAATGTTCCGGTTTCATCAGCCTAGATTTCTGTGCTGTATGTGGGGCTGCCTTTGAAGACTGGAAACTTCAGTCAGTGAATACTATGTTAACCTGGATGCTTATGGGGCAAGGTGTTCAGTGTTACATGTATTTTATGCCAAATACTTTTTGCTTCTGGGCTGAATTCAAAAATGCTGGTTTGGGCCTTTAAAGATTTCAATAGGTTGGGGTGAAGTTATTTGAAGAGTGTCTTGCATCCATGCTTTAAGACCAGTGGAGGGCCACTTTTACCATGCTATTAGCAATTATTAGATTTTCAGGCCTGAGAGAAACCTCTGCAGTAGGCTTTCATTTGTCGAACTCCCTTCCCAAGGATATGTGGTTGGGCCATTCCATGTTAATTTTCAGGTGAGCCCTTCATCTATTATTTCAGATTGCCTTTTGCTCTGGTTTTTACTCTTCTTTCATATTATATCAAAGACAACCAGATTAAGTGTATGCTTTCATATTGGTTATTGCTGCTTTATAATTTAAAGTGGCTCTTGAAATTTTGTATGTTGAAAAGTAGCCTAGAAGTTTCAGTAATAAATAAAATAATCTTTCCACTAGCTTCAATCTATATTTAAGGAGATGTGTTTTAAATAGTTCCATCTCTGTTTCTGCTAAGATATAGAAAAAAAGATTAGTTAAAACTTGCTTCTCAGTTAATAGATAATTTGGAATCCCAAGTTTTTCTGGAGTAAAGGACTTAAAGAAATCTCTCAGTGCTTTGTTATAAGGGCTTGACTGTATATTCATGGAACCTCAGCAATGGAATAGTTTCCTGGTGACTAATTTCTGCCTAGCAAATTGTAAAATGATGAAGCCTTGACTAAGGAGCTAACAAAATAAATGTTCAGCACATTTATTTAATTGTGTATAAATGTGTGCCAGAAGGAAGATATGGTAGAACAATTTCTTTAGTAAATAAGATGTGTTCTTTGTGATAAGTGTACATTGATAAACATGCAAATTAGAAATTGGGAATAGGATGCCAAAGGAAAAAACTATTTCAGAAAAGATATATTGCATTTAATGTAAGCAAGACATAGTTTTGAGACTTTGGAGTGCTTGCTAAAGAACACACTAAGAAACTCCTGCTTGTTTACTGAACAGCAGCAGAAGACTGGAGCTAAGATCTCCAGCAGCTACTACATTAAGATCAAACAGTTAAATCTAAAGTGTGATCAGTGTGTGTCTCATAAACATATGCTTAACTGCAAGTTAATGGACTGTGCCATACTGCGTCACTGTGCCACTTGCCACTCATTAGAAAAGTTGCCTTTTCTGATTACAAATTTCAGTGCATAACTAGCTTTCTATTTATTTACATGAAAATATTATTTGATTTATGGAAAGTATTGCAACTCAAGATGGCTTGCATAGCAAATTTATTTTATAAATTGACCTAACCAAAATTGATACTTTTCTTAGATACCTACCCAGTGCTTATCAGTTGGCTGCCAGAGGAGTCTTATGAAGGATCAGAAGAAAGATCAGTAGAGGAGCTGGAGGAAGAGTGTAGTTGTGAGTCACTAGAAGTGGCAGAGGAACTGGAGGAATTACTAGCAGAAGAACTTTGTGAAGAATATAGTGAAGATTTTATTGATGCTTTTGAAGACTATGATGAAATATCTGTTGAACTGGAAGAAACTTTAGTGGTGGAGGAGGACTCTGAAGGAATAGCAGAAGAGATATTAGAGGAGGAAGTGAGTTTAGTGTCAGAAGAGTGGATAGAAGAGCCTAGCAGTATAACCTTGGAGGAACTAGAAGAAGAAATAAATATAGGATCAGAGTTGGAGGAATTCTACTGAAGGGGAAGCCTTTAAATTAATAAACCTATTTTAATTAATCTAAAATGCCTCTTTACTTCTCTGAAGGGTAGCGCATTAATGTGTTTTTCAAGGTACCTCTTGCCATAGATTTTGTTGGCAGACTGTTAACTGTCTTTGGTCATTATGATTCTGAACATTTCCAAACACTATTAACAGAATCCAAATGTCTGTTTTATATAGGCAGACCATCTTTTGAAATGACTTCTGGGAGAAAGGGGTACTGAAACCTTTGAGGTTGAATTAGCAGAGTATATTGATTAATTATTAGAAAGCCAGCTGGAGCAATGGCTGTCAGCTGTCACTAAATAGTGAACTTGTTCCTCTGTACTGGCCTACTATAAAACTACTTGTCTTGTTTATCCATGTAGATACTAGAAATTCTATAACTATTTGCTCTATTGACATGTTAGTACAAAGAGTAAACAATGCAAGTACAACAAATGAGTTTGATTATATAAAACTCAAGCAGAAAGATTAATTTATAAATATGTTTAAATCAAGGCAGTTTTAATGCCCCATTCAAGGAGTATGTTGAAACTAGTCTGTCTTGTCTGAGTATTCCTCCTCATTGCTGAATGTGTTTTAACAGATGGTCAGACTTTTAAATTAGTTTAACTGAAAAGTTTATGTATCACATAGAAGTGGGAAGAAAAAGCAAAAATTCTTCAGTAAAGAAAAATTCTTCAATAAAGCAAACTATTTCATTTTGATTTCATAAGGTATGAACTTGAGAAAGTATTTAATTTCAAGATGATACCCAACTTTATTAGCTACTTTTCAAACAGAGTAAGCTTGCAATGCAAACTTAAGTAGGCTCAAAGGTGGTCATCAAATTATTCAGAATTTTTTTTTTACACCTCCTTTCTCAAAAACTGAAGGTGCAAGTTATGGATTGTAAAGGAACTGCAATATCGCTATTTGGAAAAGGCATGTGAATCACACAAATCTACATTTTTTCTTATTCATAAGAAAAACAGCTTTGGGATTTGCTAGTCTGAACATCCTTCTAAAATGGTTTACAAGACTACACTTTATAAATCAGTCATAATGCTTTTCTAATTAGTCTGAAGTCCAGGATACTACAACATACCTTGTCCTTCTTGGTACATAAACCCAGCAGTAGTAGTTCTTGTTCACTGGATGTTCAGACTTGAGTTCACATAATTTGAATTATATCTTTATGTGTAGTCATATAATAGCCAGCAAAATGGATGGATAAGTACTCCAACTCTGCTTGTAAAGAACATGTGTACTCCCTGTACACCTTATTTCTTTGTGAAACTGGGTATGGAAGGGAAGGAATGTTGCAGTGACTGGCAATCGCAGCAGGGAGAGGTACAGCCTCTGGTTAATTGTGGGGGACAGTATAGCATCCTGACTCCTGAAAATATGCCTATCCTGGCTTTGGAGTTCTGTATTTTTCTATGCTTTTATGTGGTACAATTTTTGTGCTGCAATTTATGCTTCAGCATGACAGCCCATTCAGTGCAACTGGACTAAGCCTCAGAGATCTGAATTCTAGTCCCCACTTGCCCATGAAGGGGAAAAGAAAAGCAGGATATAAATACAATCAATAAAGATTTTACCTCCCTGTCTCATTTCACCTGACAGGATGACGCAAAACCTCCCTGTGTTCCTTAGGTCAGATCCTTGGATGCTTTTGAGTTGATGTGTATCCACTCAAAATTAAACTTGATCAAATATTTCTTGGATTACCAATTTCAGGGGATGAGTACTCTGCTGCTGTAGCCACTTCTGGCATTGTGCTGGGCAAACTTATATGACATGAATTGCACTAAAATCTTTCTCCTATGATTGAAAACATTGGACATGATTCAGATTTCCTATGAATTTGGGTAATTACATGGAATGTTCTACCACAAGTGGGGTGAGAGGAAGCAACTTTAGCCAATTCTCTTCTCTCATTGTCTTCTCCAATGTTGTTATAGAGAAGATATTTGTAGGATGTGAGAACTTCAGAGAAAGAAGAATCAGCAAAAAAAGGTCTCCCCCTCGATTATCTTTTAGAAACATCCACAGGTTGCAAGGCATTTCACAAAGAAGCCCTGCTGTTTGTAGCATAACATGTCTGAATCCAGCCCATGATGACCTGGATTATTGTGACATCCTGATCCAGGAAGCTGGGTTGTTCAGCCCCTGACCACCCTAGAGGTCTTTGATTCTGATATCACACTAAGAGCCCCACATTCTTTCCACAATGGGTAGGAGTATCCTGGGTTGTTGATTGAAAGTGGGACTGGTAGGTGCACAGAAGCAATGTTCTGGCTTATCTCCTTTTGACTATAATTCCTGAGTTAAACCAACCTGGAAATGGTATGTTTGAACTGGGCTAGTCTGCGAATAGTCTAGGGCTTGAGAGCTTCTTCTCAGTTAAGATGTCATGGCATTATAGGAAACACTTTTCTAACAAATCTGAAGTGGGAAACACTAAATGTTTTAATAGACTTCATACTGGAAAAAGTGGGTGTTACTGTGGCTTCTGCATATATTCTCTCCTGTGGCAGAAGAGTTGTAGTGATAAAAAGAGGCAGGTTTGAGTATTGTATACAATCTGGTAAAATTTTACTAAATATTGTATTAAAATAGTAAATACTCTGGGTGGCATACAGATTAAAGGTGCAGGCAAATTGGAATGGCTGTAATCCTCTAAAGACTGAGGATTACTGGCAACCTGTTCAAAACTACTACTGCCTCCTTAGCCCTCTTGCTCTGCAATTTTTCCTGGAACCCTGCCAGCTGTCTCAACTGGAAGCTTCAAAGGGAGAGGAAAGGTGACTGGAGCATTAGTTTTCTCCACATCCTGAATGCCACCTTTACTGTTTCTAAAGGTTGCCTCCCCACCCCAGAGCAGTTGGTATGATTCTTTCCATGTTGGTTGGATGGGGGGGAAAGGATTAGAGTTCTGATCTCCAGATTCCCTCTCTGATCATGGAACAGTGAATCTTAATGATGTCTAGGGACCAGAGGGTTGCTTTCTTAGTTGCTTTTAGGTTTTATTGAATCTGTGAAACATAATTTGGGTAACTTTCAAAGTTTCAGTGGTACTGCAACTATCACTGGATCAATACTCTTGTGTTTAATCATTCATCTTAATACAGATTTCAATAATGTTAATGCTCAAGCTATTTTCTTGAGCTTTGTTTATCTTTAAAATAAATATCTCTTCTGTGGACCATATCCTTTTAATGTTCCTCTTGGCAAAGGAACATGTCTAAGGCAACAAAACTGAAAACTTGTATTTTTGGCATACTTACTCTATACTGAAGGTGGTATGGTGTTTACAATAAAACTTTTGGTTAGTATTTAGGTAGTATCCAAGGCCTCTTCTCTTCCTATGGTAGGAAATTGGCTGCAAAAGTTGTAATCCTTTGGCAAATTGTCTTGGAGTAAGCCCCATTGAAAACAGTGGGGTCTAGGATTGCAATGAAAAGCAGTGAACCAAGTAAAGAGCTCATGTTTGGTAAAATGAAACATGGATGAGATTGGAAAGTGTTTTTTAAGAGCTTTATTTTTTTGTGACATTTAGTGTGTGTTTATGTTTTGTACTAAAATTACAGTGAAGATGCAAACTTCTAAAACATCTTTAATTTTTTTTGCAGAAGATCCTTTTGATGATTTCTTTGGCAATAGACGAGGGCCACGTGGAAACAGAAACAGAGGTGGTGGATCCTTTTTCTCAGCTTTTGGTGGATTTCCTGCCTTTGGCAGTGCTTTTTCTTCATTTGATACAGGTAGGTTGATTTTAATTTAGTATAGTCATTAAAAATGAAACTTCTCTATTTAACAATGAAGTTTATACTAGGTAGGCCTACAAACTCTTCAGATTCTTTAATATACAGGATAAACTTCTGAAGAATTAGAATTCTGAGCGTAGAAAGGGAACAATGCTGGTTCCCAGAGAGTTACTTAAGGCATACCCAAAGGCTTTAAAACAGATGAGATTGCTTCTCCCTCCACCCAGCTTGTTTTTGGAAAATGCCTCAGTTTCAAAAAGGACTCGTAGGTGACATGAGGGAGGTGCAGTTTGGTCTCAGCTAGTGTGTGCATGAAGAGTCAGGATGTTATGTCCAGATCTTCAAAAGGTTCACAGTACTGGCAAATTCAATGAATTACATATGTTTGCTTTTGCAAAGGATGCTTAACCTGATTTATTGTTAAATAATTCTTCATAAATGTATATTAGAAAAATCACAATGGATCTGTCAACAGCTTGAGTTGGGCCCTCAAAAACTGAGTCGTGCAAAATTTCAATTAAGTGGAACTGACTTCGTATCAGCATTACTGAAATTAGGGATTTTAAAGCAGTAGCTACCATTAATAGACATGCTTGGATATAGGCCTGATAGTTAACCTTGATCCTTTTCTTAATCTGAAAAATAAAGCACATGTGAAAAACTGTTGAACTGTTCCTGACATTTTATGAATACATGTTATGGCTTCTGCTTTGGTCCAATACATTCTCTTACTCTTATTTTCTTACCAGGTTTTACTTCGTTTGGGTCTTTGGGACATGGGGGCCTTACTTCATTTTCCTCCACATCATTTGGTGGCAGTGGGATGGGTAACTTCAAATCAGTATCAACTTCAACTAAAATAGTTAATGGCAGAAAAATTACTACGAAGAGGTATAGTAATTTAAATTCAAAATGTTTTGTATTTTAGTAATGCATCAGGTTCCCCAAATATAATACATTCTTAAAAATATAGAACTATGCAAATTAGCTGCTTCTGTCATTATTAGTTTCCCAAGACAGCTAGGAAACTAGTTTTTGTTAGACAGGATTAACTTGAAAGATGTGAATATACTGTATATAATTCTAACACATAATTCTTGATAAGATTGGATTCTCTTTTTTTCCAGCTACTGCCTTTGATTATCCCAAATCTTACACTGGGGTTGGAATTGATTTGGCCAGATAGTTGTGTAACTAACTAAAGGCTTAGACATGTGCAAACTTAAGTGTAGAAAAGGTAGCTTAGCTGAAAAGGACTTCTCACAGTTTTGCTATCATAAGCACTAATTGTTTAAAAATTTTTCATAATGTGAAGCTTTCTAATTTATCTGCTGCTGTTTGGTACCAGTTGGCGGTAAATTGCAATAGACCATGAGCCACTTGATTGCTGTTCAAAACATTTCAAAAAGATTATTAAATGGATTTTTATCCTGCAGAATTGTTGAGAACGGACAAGAGAGAGTAGAAGTTGAAGAAGATGGCCAGTTAAAGTCTTTAACAATAAATGGTAAGGAGCAGCTGCTACGCTTGGATAACAAGTAATTCATCGCACGCATTTAACAGAATTTTAAGCTATAAAGAGCACCCTTTGAGGATTAACAGGAACATTTTTTGAAGATTTCAAGTGAACTCTTTCATTATACTATACGTAATCTAAGATATTTATAAACAGCTCATCGGAGCTCATATGTCAGACTTTGCGTTTAATTACTGGGACCACATGAATAGGACCATTTTTTGTCCTTAAAATTGTTGTAAATTTATGTATGCACTTTGCTTTTTATTAAACATGATTCTTGGTGAACAGTTACCCTGCATTAGTGCTAGGGCCAATTGTACACTAATATTAGCATGAATCTTGCTTTGATTTGTTTGTTGGGTTTTGGGGAGGGGGTTGATTTTGACATGTGAGCCAACTAGTAGTTTACATCCACTGTGAAGTTAACATTTCTGAGGGAAATTTAATTTCAAGCTTGCAGTATTTAGTAGTGAATAATGTTAGTTTGTTACTGATGGTGCATTTCTGGTTAAACAAATTAAGGATGTTTTCTAGCTGTGCATGAATGCTGGCAATTTAGTACATTTTGACATCTAAATGTGTAATGTTTAAGCCTAAGCTAACAAGTTAAAACTAGTGAGCTTGGGTATTTTGTCATTTTTGCTAAAACGTTAAAAATGAATAAATGCTGATGTTTGTGGTGCATTCTTTCATGGATAATACTTGTAGCTTTTTGTGTGCTTGTGTAACTTGGATGATACTCATATTTTGCTTTCAATGCTCCCTGCCTTCAATGTTCCTTCTTACAACCATTCCTCTGTATAAAATTTTTCAATGATCCTGCAACTGAAAGATCTAGCCAATAATTATATAACTTTTCCTTTTACCCAGAAGCAATACATGATTGTAAAAAGCAAAGTAGGAAACATCTTAATTCCCTTTAGAGTAAGTATTGGTACTAGAACCCAGTGAACTCCATTAAGCTACTAGATAGCAGGTTTGTGCCATAATTTTAAAATGGAAAGACTGCTGATCATTTGAGAGTAGATGAGTATTACAGAATCAGAGTTTAAATGGAATGCTTAACATACCATGCAAAGACCTTTAGTAAGGAGTGAATACTTATGGATTGTATTTACTGTTAGCTTAAGTATCAGTCTTTCAGTGGGTTTTCCCTAAATAGGACCATCATTTAGATGCAACCCTGTACAATTAGATAGTAACTGTATATTGATAAATGGTATATGCACAGTTTTTAAAAACTGTATCCTCACTCCTGTCTGGTGGATCTCTTACCTAGAAAAAGTATTCTTAAAGGCCCTTCATAATATAAGGCAAACAGAATTAAAAATCAAATGAATTTTTGAGCACAAAATTCAATTATCAGTAAACAAAGATAATCCTTATTGCATACCTGATTTTGTAGAATAGTGGGGGTGAATGCCATGGAGTTGGGAAAGGGTCATCACAGTAGGAGTACCTTGACTCAAGCATTAAATGCAAAATTTAAATCAAGAGTAGGGAACATTGGCTCCAGGGCCACTTTTGCAGACACGTACTTTGGTTGCTACACTACATTTGGCAGGCAATTGCCAAAAAAAAAAAAAAGCAATTTGCTGCGGTTTTTAGCTGGTAGGAGCTATAAAAGGCTAATCATGAATATAAGCTCAATTTGGCCATTTTAGCCTTCTGATGATTTTTCTTGCTGCCATTTCAGTGGGGGCACATGTTACCCACCCACACTTTAAATGAAACATAAACCAGCATCTCTGTGCATTTTTACATTTTGCTCTTAAGTCCACCCAAACTGTGTCCAGAGAGCTTCAGCTGATGGGCTGTATAGAAATTAATGAAGGAGAGCATTGACAGGTTTCTTTCATTAAAGAATCACTCCTTTAGTACCGCCTCAGCATTCACAAGAGAACTATGTGCAGTGCTATTTCATTTAGTGAGCAAAATGTGACAGGAGCCAGGAAATTAGCCCACCAGCTTCTGTATTTTATTTCATCACTAGGTAGTCTACTGCACAGCATTTCGGAAAACACTATGTTGAACTGAGGGCTTCTGCTATAAAGCTGCATGTCTATCAGAACCAGGTAGCAATAAAATGCCAAAGTCTGCATCCTGCCTTTTCTAGTATAATTGTACATATTTGCTTGCTTCAGAGCCCCTTCCATATCCCTTAAAATCTCATGAGATATCAATATAGTTTAGTTTTAAAGCATTCATCATTGATCTTTGAATAAGGACATAACCTTAATAGGAGTTCAGATAAAACATGTAATTGTCATCCCCACTGGATATACTGTGCACATTTTACTGCCTGTCAAGAGCTGATATTTTCAGGAAGCTGAATTTTGTGCCTGATAATTTCTGTACTTGTGTAGTATAATCATAAAATACATACAGCTTTGGTGTACTGCTTGACTGGCAGATCTTTCTTATTCCAAATGTGTTGTATCATACTTAGTGGCTTTGGGTCATTTGGATCTCAGAACTAACTCTTAGCTGCTAACCTTTATGGTAATTCAAGTGAAATCACACTTCTTGATACTTACACTGCTTGTATAAGAAGTGAAATTTTACCTTGCTAAGTATAGTCCTTGTTTCCTGGTGCTTTTTAAGAGTAGGATGATAAAATCCAGAAGGATGGGGTTTGAAACTGCCTGGTTCCATACATTGAATGAATCTGTTGATGCAGCCACATGGAAAATGTAATGTATGAGTCAGCAGAACTCAGCTTTCCAGCAGCCGTTTGCTTGTGTAGTAGTACACCTCTCCTCTGTCTTGTTGGAAAACTGCTTCCAAGAAGCAGAGTGAATGGGTGACTTATACATTGCCAGAGCTTTGTGGGGAAAGCAGAGGGGCTGCTAGACATGACACAAGGTGGAAAATTGTGCATACGCAGCAGATTACATTTGTTTAAAACCTGATAGCAGACTTTGCTCCTTACCTGCTTTTTCCATACAAGTCAGTGGTAGTTGACTTGTATGGCAAAAAAGAAAATGATAGGACAGTCAAAGAAACCAGTGAGTTCCTGATCCACAAAGACATTTTATAGGGTGAGGTGTGGCCCCTATCAGTGTTGTCGCCACTTGCTGCTGCTGCTTGCCTGTCTCCTATCCCTTATGTCTGCCCCTGCTTCCTTTTTCAATACTGTGATCATAAAAATACCTGGTTTTGTTTGAGAAATCGTAAGTGAAGATCCAAAGTAAAGTGTGTATAAGAACATGTCGGGCCTGCACTACAGTGTTGTAGCATATCACTAATCCCCAGGAGGAAACTATATTCTGTTAGCCTGGAGCAAGAACCTTGTAGTGGTGGCCAGCCCTGGCTGTGTGGGGAAGAGCAGTTTCAGGTGTGCAAAGAGATAAACAACGTTCTTTTCTCCCTACACTTTCCCTTCTTGTGCTACCTAATACCAGAGGGCTCCCAGCTCCAAACTTGAGTATGTTTTGGCTATATGGGGTCACGGGTAAGCTACACAGTATTGAATAACAAGGAAAGAAAAAAAAACCCTTTTTCTCTCTGTTCTCCTAATATTCCCCTGTATGGTACAAGAGGTCCATTTCTGCAACCTGGTTCTTCCTCTCCTACCCCTTTTACAGGATACTTAAAACAGAGGCTTGAAGAGGCCATTTTCCCCTTCCACTGCTCTTGATTTCTTTTTCCCCAATGATACTCACATGACTTAACTGCTCTCAGCTACAATAGCTAATTTGTACAGATAAGGAATGACTGGTTTCTTGAACCATCAAACCCTTCCACCCCAGTCCCCACAGGCTCTAATGTTAACATTTTTCTTGTCAAATCATTTTTGTAGCTTTTTGTCCCCTTAAGTTAGCATACTTTTTGTTTATCCAAGGAAATCACAGTTATGTGAAAAACAGTCCTTTAAGTCCCAGCAGCCCCATTTCTATCCCAAACTATAGACACATGACCATCTGAGTTCACTCAAAGGAAATGAGTGGGGCTGTCAACAAATGCTGTAATATGGAATATTCTTTCAGTCTTCCAGCTAGCTATGCCCTTTGCCAGAACACTCCATTCGTCCCCACCACAGACACGCAACATGCTGCAGCCACTGAACATGCTCAGTCCTCACTGGGGAAACAATGAGTGGAAAAGTGTGCTTCTGCAAATCTTGGGGTCCCTCAAATATGTAGATGCAAACTTATTTTTCAGCCTGTTTGGACAACAGTCCTGTCAGGACTTGCCAGAGGAGTTCATTATTAGAGGGAGTGATGTAATTATGGGGTGGGTGAGTGAGTAGGTGGGTGCATGTATGTACATGTTGCAATATAGTGGATGCTTTAGGAGAAAAGTATTTGCCCACATCCTCTTCCTATAACAAGGGGACATGTAGGGCCAATGTTACATTATCTGAAACTGGTAAAATATGTGAGTGGTAGCTTTATCTTGGCTACTTTTGGATTTTGCTGTCAGCAAATGGCTGGGGTAGCTGATAATCTAGTTCTGATAATGGACTGCATTGTACAATTGCTGTTGGAGGCATATAAGGCCATGGGTGGATCCAGACTAAGTTGCACCTAGGCCTCACTGGAATCAATAGGGCAGGTAACTAATTTGCCCCACTCATTCAGATGGGGCCTACCTGCAACAAACTTGGTCTGGTTCCAACTTACCATGTTTATTACCATACTAGTCCCAAGTCCAGTGGGTAAGTGATTGTGTCCTGTAGTTTTCTGTAGTGTTTTTGCATGGTGAAAGCTTTGCATTGTATTGTGTCCCCATAGTATTCCTCAGGGTCAACAACTGCATGCTCTTTTAGTATGGCTTATTCAGAGGCAGGTTGCAGTAGCTGCCATGTTCTCCTGCATTAGGGTATGAAGTATTATTTCCCTTGTTTGAAACCTGGCTCCGTTACTGCAGCTTTCAATTCTGAGACTTGTCAATATTATTTTTCTACATTGTGAACAAAAGTGTAATTTTATCTTAAGTGCAATGTATTAACCTGTCTTCTGTCTAGTCACTAGATTGAATGCTGT